CCTTTCCAGTGGCCTTGCAAGAGAAGGGAGTGGGCAGATGCGCAGCAGCCCTGGGCACTTGGGCCCGCTGTCCAGTCGCAGGCAGAAGGGCAGGTCTTGTGATGCTCCTGGCCTGAGCTCTGCAGTGTGGTGGGCATGCGCTACTTCCTGTCTGCCATATGCTTTTCAAATAGCTGAGGGTTAGAGATTAGGCTCTCAGTTATCTTACCAGTATCATCTGTATTCATCTATTTGCAAGCACTGACAAGTCACACAGCAGTGACCACAGGTCACTACTAGGAAAAAGTGGGTACACCACACATGGAGTTCTGCCCTTAGGCTGCTTACTTTCTCACCCATCATCATCCCTTGAAATTTTTTATTTCCTGTAAGAGTAAGGGATCAGGGGTTTGCCCAGTGGGGCCCACTCTTCCAGAACTGTCTGAACTCCTTAACCTGCCTGCTCACATCTGAACCTGCAGACCAAGCCTGTGGACCCAACTGTAGATGGAGGCGCACAGGTGCAGCAGGTGGTTAACATAGAGTGCGTGTCTGACTTCACAGAGGCACCTGTCCTCAACATTCAGTTCAGGTAGGGTGAGCGTGGGCACCTGCCCATGTGCTGGGAGCACCCCCCCACCACGGGGGACACCCAGTCACCTGAGCTTTCCAGAGTATAGGAAGCTGCTCTGTGGCCCAGGGGGATGCAGGGCCAGTCTGCAGTAGCTGACAGCTGGGCCCTGGGCACTGACTGCTGGGAAAGACAGTTGCAGAGGAGATGCTGGTGGCTCTCCAGACCCAGGCAGGGCTTCTTGTGCAGCTGCATGCAGACCCATCCTCTTGCAAGTACTACTGTGGAGTACCTGTGATGGTGGGTTTCCTGTAGGCCCGAGGCCAGTGTGTTTGGAGAAGCACGTTTTCAAATTCTAGAAACAGTACTTAGGCAAATGCTTCTCTTCAGTCTTTCTATGGGGAGATATCCCACCCTGACACAGACACTGGTGCTCTGGAGGCAGATGAGAGGCAAGGGTGAGTGCTGGAGGCTATCCTGCCAGCCCTGAGAAGGGCCGCTGCTCCCAACTCTGCTCCAGGCAGTGCGTGTGGCCCTGGCCTCACTTGTGCCAGCTGCCTCAGCAGGTGTATGGAGGGTTGGCTTGGCTCCTGCAGGAGCACTATCCACCTTGCTGCTGGGGTGGCCTGGGTGGCTTCCCAAGCCCTAAGGCTGTGCAGCCAGGAACCCCGTCCCTTCCCTCTTGTCAACACGTCTGCCCATAGGTATGGTGGCACCTTCCAGAATGTGTCTGTCAAGCTACCCATCACGCTCAACAAATTTTTCCAGCCCACAGAAATGGCTTCTCAGGATTTCTTTCAACGCTGGAAGCAGTTGAGCAAGTGAGAGGGCTGTGCTTGGGGGTGGGGAGAGGATCAGGGGTCATTCAGTGGGTGGCCTGTTAGCCTCCAGTGTGTCTGCCAGCTCTGACAGCCCTCCGTGCCCTTCCTCAGCCCACAACAAGAGGTGCAGAACATTTTCAAAGCAAAGCATCCGATGGACACAGAAATCACGAAAGCAAAGGTAAAAGGCTGTGGGGGTGGTGTCCCCAAGGCAGACACCATGGCCGGTGCCTTTCCTGACCCCTTCCTCCTTTTGGACAGATCATTGGATTTGGTTCTGCACTCCTCGAGGAAGTTGATCCCAATCCTGCGAATTTTGTGGGTGCTGGCATCATACATACCAGAACCACCCAGATTGGGTGCCTGCTGCGCTTGGAGCCCAATCTGCAAGCCCAGGTCAGGACTCCCGTGGGGACGAGTGGAGACCTCGTGTGCCTGCGCCTGTCAGTGTGCATAGGCTTCCCGCCTCTCCATGGGCCCTGGCATGTGGGGCCCCATGCAAGTTCCGTGTTGCAGTTCAATCAGTGGTCCTTCCTCTTAGTCCTGAGCAGTGTCTTTCTGGCCGAGGGGCCCCAGTCTCTGTGTCCAGTTCTGCCGGGGGCACCTGTTGTCACTTCATGGGAGATCCCTGGAGAGCAGCTGCCCTTGGGAGGTGGAGGCCCACTGAGAGGAGCTGCTGGCTGCCCCTCGGGGTGCGTGGCTGCTGTCTGTTGCAGAGTCTGTGTCTGCTGCCTCAAGGAGCTGCACGGGGCTTCGGTGTGCCGCTGACCTCTGTCTCTGTTTCAGATGTACCGGCTCACGCTGCGCACCAGCAAAGACACCGTCTCACAGAGGCTGTGTGAGCTGCTGTCAGAGCAGTTTTAATCCACGGGCAGAAGGTCTGGCTCGTATCTGTGCGTCTCTCCTCGTCTCTGCCATTTGTCTTCGTCACCATATGCAAACAAAACCCCATGTCTGAACATCACAGCACAAGGTGCCTCCAGGCCCGGCCCCTGGTCATCGCGGGATAGCGGGCACTGTTGGAGGAGGACTGCAGTGGGCCTGCCCCAGCAGGAGGGCCTTGGGTCCTGGGAATCAAGACAGCCCTGTGGTTCAGCCTACAAATTAAAGGGAAATAAGAAGTTTGAGTGGAAGTGGGGATTGTGTTGAGGTTTTGTCTGAGTGCCGCTGTTCTGTTGCAGACCTTCTCAGATTTTGGAGCAGCTGCACTGCTGTGCTTACAGGGCTACCCTGGGACTACCTGGCTGTGCTGGCGTGAGCCACTCTGCGAGAGGAGTGTGGCTAACCCTGCAGGATGGGCAGTGTTTGCACGGGGCTTGCTGAGGCACTGCCAGACGATTCCTGGGCAGGGTTGTAATTCAGGAGCTGGAAGCATCTGTTTTGATGACTGTTGGCCAAACCAGGCACCTGCTGTCCTCAGCCAGCCCTGTCCACAGCACCGGTGTTCTTGAAGGGACTTCTATGATGTGTTCTGTCGGACACCTTAGATTTGCACTTGGTGGGTGGAGGGATCCTGATGGCTCTGCAGGGTGTGACCATGGCTCATCTTGCAAGACTCTGCAGGGTGTGCCTGTCCTTCCTGCTGGTGGCCTTCACCTGTCAAGTGCACATTCCTAGGGCCTCAGTTGAGGCCGAATGCTACAGACTGCACCTGTCCAGTCCTTGCTGGATGTTGGGGTGGAGGAGATTAAACTGGGGAGGACAACGGCCCTGGATGTTGCTGTGCTGAGGGAGCGCCAGGTCTGCTGGCCACGTGTCCCCAGCTCTCACAGGTGTCCCTGCACATGCTTGCAAGGTAGGATGTGGATGGGGCAGAGAGGCCTGGGGAGCCCAGGCAGGTGTGCCCTGCGGTGGCTCCTAGGGTCAGCACACAGGGGACAGGCAGGTTTGTCTGAGCACACTTAAGCCCAGAGCACCTGAGGAGACACAGGAAAGGCAGGACCCACTGTCACTCCCTTGATGTCCAGACACTGGGCATGGCAATGGCCCTTTGGCTCAGTTTCTTGACATCATCCTGCCATCCTGGGTCTTAGGGACAGCTGCAGGGTGGCCTTCAGAGTACCCAGCTCCTCCTGTGCTGGTCTTGGTGTGTGTGCGCCCCAAAGCTCCTGGTCTGCCTGAGATATGCCCCGGCCTCAGATGGGCTTTGCTGCAGGTGATGGCCTGGCTGGCCAGGGCGAGCCTCTGCGTCCTCTTATTCCAGCTGCTGGACAGAGTGACAGTCCTTGATGTGCAGTCCACACACTGCGTGTGGACCGCAGGGCCCATGACCATGGCTCCTGTGCATGGGCAGCCAGGTAGTGGTCTCTGGGCAACAAGTCTCCCTGGCATAGGAAGGGCTGCTGAGGCACAGGCCTGCTGAGGCACAGGCTTGCCCTCTGTGCTGTCCCAGGGGTGTCCATCTGTGCATTGTGCTCCTTTTCAAAGAAAAATAAACGCTAGTACAGTTGGATGCGTGTGTTGTCTTTTGGGCAGTGTCCTGTGGGCATTGTGGGTGCTGGCACCAAGGACCTAGAGTACCATCTGCCTGTGCAACTTGTCCTTTAGCTTTAGGACAGTCTCTCTGGGCCTGGGCAGTGCTGGACAGTACCTCACAACACCACAAAGCACCTTTGCTCTGATGGCATGACTCTGGGTATGGCCAGGTCTGCCTAGGCTCCCTGCTTCAGTGGATGCTGGGCTGTGGCTCCTTGGAGGACCTGGCCTTGGAGGCCTCTGGTCTAAGTGCACAGGAGGGATGGGCCCAAGGGTTCTTTCCTGCTGAGCTGCCTGTGGGGTGAGGTTGCCCCTGCCAGGGATCCTATAGCCCGGCAGGGATGGTGCTAGAGGGACCCAGAGGGTGGTAGCCTCACCAGGGGCTTGTGCAGAGTTTTGGGTGGGGGCACAGCCAGTGGTGGTGGCCTTTCCTCTCCAAGCCCCACCTGGCGGCAGCCCCACCCAGCCCCGGTCCTGTGCCCACCGTGTAGGTTCACCCAGGGAGAGAGGCCTGAGGGAGTTGGGGATGGCACAGTGGCGCTCAGGGATCAGCCTCTGCCTGGACAAGATCCAGTTTATTTGGAATCAACTCGATGGTGGGTGACAGCCTCCTCTTAGGATGTGGGTTCTGGCAGCAGCCATCTTGCACAGCTGGGTGCCACTGTGTTGCACCTGCCTGTCACCCTGACTGGGGATATCCCTCTCTGCTGTATTTCGTGCTTACCTGGCCTTTCGTCCTCCTTGTCCCTGTCCAGGTACCCACACCCGCCATGTCCCCATTCTGATCAGCCCACATGTCCCCCCAGCAGCCCTGCTGGAGCAGCCTCCTCCCTGGCATCTGCTCCTGGGTTGTTTTCTCTGCAAGATTCTGCCACCAAAGGCTGGGAGGCTGTGTGCGTGGCAGACGCTGCGGTCAGCACGTGCCCATGCCACACCCACACTCTGGGTTGTGTCAGCAGGAGGTGGATGGTCAGGGCTCCTTCCCAGCAGCTTCTTCCCTGCAGTGGCCTCAGGTGAGCCACCTCCGAGGGCTCGTGGAGTCCAGATCTATGTCCAGGAAAGAGGCTGCTGGACAAATCCAGAGGAGGAGTGTGGTGGCATCTGTCTTGTTCTTGGCCTGCGACCTTTTGTGCGTGGGAGACCAGGCAGCTCCTCTAGTCTTTGCAGTGCGAGAGTTTGCACACACAGCTGCTGAACACCTGCAAGGTGAGCTTGAGCTGCTGGCCTGGTGCGTTGGGGTCTGGACAGGGCAGTAGGAGCTGTTTCTTGTAGGAGTTGAGCGGGTAGCAGCAGCTACACTGAGCATCCACCTGCTGGGTGGTGATGTTGAAGCTGCCAAGAAGCAGACAAGCAGAGGGTCAGGGCAGCACCTCTCCCCTGAGGAGCAGCAGGACCCCAAGCCGTTTGCAGGCCAGACCTTTAAGAGCCTTCCCTTTCCTGCTGACTCCTGCTCACAGGCACAAGGCAAGTTCGACTTTGGGCATGGAGCAGGCTGCCTGGACCCCGTGGACTGGGACAAGGCAGCACTGCGAGGACCCGACAGCCTGGCAACTTGCTGTGGGTCTTGACCCAGCCAGGAAGGTTGGCTCCCAGGGGCTCACCTGACGGAAGAGGCACAAGCACCCTCGCAGCGGGTCAGGGTCACGTTTGCTGTGCACCCCTGGTAGGTGATTTCCTGTTCATGTTCCTGCACACTGCAGGCTCCTGGGGGCCAAGAGGCAAGAGTTAAGTGGACAGCGAGATGAATGCTCACACCAGAGCAGGGCCACTGAGCTGAGAGCACAGCTGCATAAGCAGACTGATTTTGGAGAAGCTTGGAGAAGCCTGAAGACTTATAGGCCCCACTGTGGCCCCCACAGCTCAGACCAGGCTCTGTATGGGGACAAAGGCTGGCAGCCTCGCATTCCTGGCTTTTCTGAAGGACCTGGCAGTGAGCTGGGCCCCAGAGGAACCTAAGTGAGACCCAGCTCTCACCACCTCCCTTCCTATGCCCCAGACACGGCCTGTGGCCATAGGTGTCTCAGGACCTGCTGAGGGCCAAGGAGAGTGTTTCAGAGTCTCCAAAAGGGGACTCCCCACACCAGGACTGGGGGAGGGGAAGCAGAGCGGGCCCCTTGGTCTGGCTTTCTAGGAGGGGTGTGGTGTGAGGACCAGGACACCTGGTCAGATGGTGGTGGTGATGCAGCACAGCCCAGGGTGCGCTGGTATAGGGGACAGGCATACCAACACATTAAAAAAAAAAAAAAAGTTTCTGGCAGACTGGATGTTCTGCCCCGTGTTTCTTTCCCTCACCTCTACCAAATTGGTTCTGTCACCCACCACACCCAGCTTCTCCTGCACCAGCTGAGGAAGGAGGGGCTCATGGCCCAGTTTGCTGAGCCCCAGCGGCCTACTCCTGTTCCTCTGTTCTGCTTCCTGATGCTACTTCCACGGGAAAGAGCCTGTGCCCAAGTCCTTATCTCACATAGTGAGAAGCCCTCACGCACAGCAGAATGTGAAGCTCAGAGTTGGCGAGAAGGAACTGCTGGGGGACGACGTGCCAGGGCAGCCTGGCTCCAAGAACATGTTCAACAGGGGGAATACTTCCAGGGAAGGAAGGGCATACCCAGAACACAAGGTGGACGTGGATAGCTCTTGCTGCATGGCATGGCCCGTGCTTGCTCTGCAGGGAACCCTGGCACTTCGTGGGCAGGAGGGCAGCTGGAAGCAGCAGCTCACAGAGAGTGCCTCCATTACACGGCAGCCCTAGTCTCCAGGCCCACTCAGCCTGCCACAGGTCAGGGAGGTGCATACTTGCAGTGGACTTTGCTTTCCTCTCTCACTCAAGGAGGTAATGTTCCTTGAGCTCAGGGACCCCTGCTATTCCACACCCTCTGAGCTTCCCAAGAGTCAGCTGTGGAAGGCTGCTTGGGGAGAGATGTCAGCCTGAAAAGAGAGGTCAAGACTGCAGAGGGACATGCAGCAGAGGCCCGGGGTGTGAACAATGCCTCTGATGCTGGTACGAGACATGGGCAAGGAAGCACCAGTTTCCTCCAGACTGGCGATAGCCCAGGGGGTGCTCAGGAGAAGAGAAAAGAATGGGGCTTGGGACAGGCACAAGGGCTGTGGGCAGCATGGAGCAATGGCGGGATGAGGGAAGGCAGTGTGCACCAGGGGCAGGACAGCGCTGTTGGGAGAAGAGGCAGGCCTGGGATGCAGCCCTGAGCCAATGGGGGCCACAGAGATGCCACTTACCATGAGAAGAGGCTGAGGGGGCCACCCAGGAGGGGGTGGCTGGGGGGAAGGTAGAGGAGCTTCCGTGCGAGGTTACGTAGCTGGACAGGAGCATGGACGTCAGCAGCCTGGAGGTACCAGGAGGACTGCTGGTCAGGTTGGTAGTAGGAGAAACTGTTGAGCTTGTCATCCCCAAGGTCGAAGACACAAGGCTTGGCATGGAGGCTTGGGTGGTAAGAGAAGTAAGCTGGGAGGTGGTGGACTGTGAGAAGGCAGAGGAAGGGGAGGCACTGGGTGTAATCCTGGACGTGGAAGGGAAGCCTGGGCTGGAGTTTAGCACCTGAGCTGGGGTGGCAGATGTGTGGACAGCTGGCAGGGTGGGCAGAGCAGAGTCAGGGGAAGAGGAGGTTAAAAGAGGTAAAAGGGAAGTGTTAACAGGACTGGAGGTTGGGGTGGGGAGAGAGACAGAAGGAGAAGGGAAATGGGACCCACTCGTGGACGCAGTGGAAAATGGAGCCGGAGGGATGGAACTGCTGGTAGGTGCATACAGTGGGGGAGCAGTGGGGGAGGTTGAAGGGACTGAGGTGGACGAGGTGGTAAGAGGCGATCTCGATGACGGCAGGGCGGAAAAGGGAGAGGAAGAGGTTAGAGAAGAAGTAGGCAGGGAGGATGTGGATGAGGCCTTGGGCAAAAGTGTGGAAGGATGTATAGTCTCTACAGAAACAGACGTGGTGAAAAGACTCCGGAGTGCAGATGGTGAGGCTGCGGGGGACAGAGTAGAACTGGAGGTAGAAATGGAGGACAAGGGAGAAGAAGAGCTGCGCAAATGAAATGACGTGCTGGCAGTGTGGAAAGACCAGTGGGCCTGGGTGGAGGCCCAGGTAGACGAGGTCATCAGTGGTGAAGTGCTTCTGGGTCCAGTAGGCTTCGCGGCTGTGGTTGAAAGACTGGTGTCGATTGGCCTTGGGATGGAGGTACTCCATAACAGCTCTGGGCTGGTCGGGCTGGTGAGGCTCTGAGATGTTGGTGTGAGAGAGATGGTGGACAGCGTGGTACCCAGAGAGGTAACTGAGGACTTGTGGCCAGTAGAAGTTGGATATGCACTGGTGGTCGGGAGGGACGTTCCTGAGAGGGGCACGGACTGCTGGAGAGTGGTGGAGGCAGATGCGGTGTATGGAGACTGAGAGGTCCTTAAGGTGTGTGTACTGGTGTGAGTAGCAGAGGAGGTGTGGGCCATAGGACTTCGAGTTTGTCTGTTGGTGGGTGTGGTTATGATGTTGGTGGACAGAGGTGATGTGGATTCCATGTATGGCGAGGAGGAAAGGTGTGACAGGGAGGAAGCAGAGGTTCTAACAGTGACGACTGAACTGAGGGCTTGTGTGGAGGCCCTGGAAGACGTGGTCATCTGCACTGCACTGCTTGTGGGTCCAGTGGACTGGAAGGCTGTAGTTGAAAGACTGGAGCCCGTTGACCTCGGGAAGGAGGTGCTCCATAACAGTTCAGGGCTGGTTGGCCGGTGAGAAGGTGATGTGAGAGGGCTAGTGGAGAGTGTGGAAAGCAGAGACGTAGGTGAGGTCTGGGGCGCAGTAGGAGTTGGAAATGTGCTGCTGGTCTGGAGGGACGTTCCCGTGAGGTGGATGGAAGGGCGGGCCGTGGTGGAGGCAGAGGTGGTGTACAAGGAGTGAGAGGTCGATGGGATTTGTGGAGTGCTGAGAAGGGTCCCGGAGGTGAGTGCCATCGCGCTCATGGTTTGCTTGATGGA